TATATATATATATATATTCATATCTTAACAGGCTTTTCTATAAGTCTTAATCAAACTTTTTTATATAAATAGGTTTTTTTAAAAGTCTGATCTTTATATTAAAAAAGTTAAGCTAGACGAGACTTTAAAAAAATCATGTCATAAATTTCTGTTTAAAGTCTGATCTATTTCAATCCCTATACACAAGTATATTATCTAAGAAAAATCATATGTAAAAAGATGAAATTAAAAACATTATAATTTTTTCCTTTCACATTTAGTTTACTAAAAAGTTTGTAGTGAATTTTAAACAGGCAAATAAATACACAATTAATAATCTTATAAAAGTCATGCACTTATAATTTTTGTTTTTTTGTTGATAATGATATGAAAAATGATAAATTGAAGGAAAATGTAGCCTTGAATTGAAAGAAAAGAAGATAAATTATACAAAAAATAAATTTACTAATTACCGTATGAATTATTATTTTGCCGACCTTTGGGACAAAAAGACTTGACAAGCTTTATAAGGTCAGGTTGGGATGAGGACACCATCCACAACCAAGTTGAACAATGGTTTTGCCTTAATTCCTCTGAAAGGGATATCCTAACAAAAGGGAAATCTGCTTTTTCTTATTCAAAATTATTTATGAAACACTTGAATGTTTTAGTAGTTTCCATATGGCCCACCACTATTATTATTTTAATATCATCCACCTAAACTTTATCATCATCTTCAACCCCACGGCATTATTAATCAAAAACCAACAACACCCATATTAATATTTAAATCTACAAAACAGTTAAGACCACCTAAGTAAATAAAATAAAAAATATTACAAGAAATATTTCTGATCGAAAACAGTCTAAATATGTGGTATTAATACAGAAAATAGACATAAATCTTAAGAAAAAGGTAGATTAAAGAAACGTATTTGTACATGTTTTGAAGTAGGTAGTAAATAAATATATTGAGGGTGTAGTTGAGTAATATTCTCTCTCAGAACCACATCACCCTAAGCAAAGAGACGTAGAAAGTAGCCACTAGAATCTCTCCCAATAGAAAGGCACATGAAGGAAGGGGCCACCAATTACCAAACAGCATATCCCATTCTCTCTCAAACAAATGTTTCTGTCTTCACACTCAAAATCTCCTCACCAGTCACCACCGCTACCGCTTACTCTTCTTCACTCCCACTCTTGCCTTTAATTATTTGTTTGAGTGGTAAAACATAATTGAATAGCAGAATGAACAAGCTGGTGGTGGAAGTAGTGGATGCGAGCGACCTTATGCCCAAAGATGGGGAAGGGTCAGCAAGTCCCTTTGTAGAGGTAGAGTTTGATGAGCAGCAGCACAGGACTGAAACCAAGCACAAAGACCTCAATCCTTGTTGGAATGAGAAGTTGGTGTTCAACATCAATAACCCCAGAGATCTTCCCCACAAGACAATTGAAGTGCTTGTATACAATCACAATGATCGAAAAGGTGGCAACCACAAGAACTTCCTAGGAAGGGTGAGACTTTCAGGCGCTTCTATCCCTCTGTCGGAGTCCCAGGCCAGTGTGGAACGGTTCCCACTTGAGAAACGTGGTCTCTTTTCAAACATCAGAGGAGAAATCGGTCTTAGATGTTATGCAGTGCATGATGACACAGCTCCTCCTCCCCCGCAACCCGAAGACTATAGTCCTACTGCCACTGCGGAACACCCTCACGAGGACACTCCCTTGCAAGAAATAAACACCAACATGGTAGATGAGGAAAGTGTGGTTGGTGACGGGGAGAAGAAGAAGAAGAAGATGAAAAAGAAAGAGAAGGAAGTTAGGACTTTTCACTCAATTCCAGCAGCAGCTCCTGCAGCCAAGGCCTTCCCGGCAGTGGAAACGCAAAGGAGGGTTGATTTTGCGAAAGCTGGGCCACCCAATGTGATGTTAATGCAGATCCCAAAGCAAAACCCGGAGTATGCATTGGTGGAGACAAGTCCACCACTTGCAGCTCGTTTGCGCTATAGAGTAGGGGACAAGATATCAACCACCTACGATTTAGTGGAGCAGATGCATTACTTGTATGTCAATGTGGTGAAGGCTAGGGATCTCCCTGTCATGGATATCTCGGGAAGCCTTGACCCTTATGTGGAGGTCAAGCTTGGTAACTACAAGGGCCTCACTAAGCACTTGGAGAAGAATCAGAACCCTGTTTGGAAGCAAATCTTTGCCTTCTCCAAGGAGAGGTTGCAATCAAATTTGCTTGAAGTGACCGTGAAGGATAAGGACATTGGGAAGGATGATTTTGTGGGGAGAGTTACTTTTGATCTCACTGAGGTTCCTCTTCGGGTACCCCCAGATAGCCCCTTAGCTCCTCAATGGTACAGATTGGAGGATAAGAAGGGGCAAAAAATAATGAATAATGGGGAAATCATGCTTGCAGTTTGGATGGGAACACAGGCGGATGAGTCCTTTCCGGAGGCCTGGCACTCCGATGCTCATAACATTAGTCACTCCAACCTTGCAAACACGCGCTCAAAGGTATATTTCTCCCCCAAGCTTTACTATCTTAGAGTTCAAGTAATTGAAGCTCAAGATCTTGTTCCTTCCGAGAAAGGAAGAGCCCCAGACACTGTTGTTAGAGTACAACTGGGGAGTCAGATGAGATTCACCAGGCCTTCTCAAATTAGAAGCACCAACCCAGTTTGGAACGACGAGCTTATGTTTGTGGCAGCGGAGCCACTTGAGGATTTTATCATTGTCACAGTTGAGGAAAAACTAGGTGGTCCTAATCTTGAAATCTTAGGAAGGGAGATCATATATGTGAGAAGTGTTCCACCCAGGCACGAGACCAGCAAGCTCCCTGATTCTCGTTGGTTCAATTTGCGCAGGCCTAGTGCAGTTGGAGAGGAGGAAACAGAGAAAAAGAAGGAGAAATTTTCAAGCAAGATTCACCTCCGAGTGTGTCGTGAGGACGGGTACCATGTGCTTGATGAGTCCACGCATTTCAGCAGTGATCTTCAGCCATCCTCCAAACATTTGAGGAAGAAAAACATTGGAATTCTCGAACTTGGGATACTGAGTGCCCGGAATTTGCTACCCATGAAGGGCAAGGAAGGTAGGACCACCGATGCATACTGCGTGGTCAAGTATGGCAACAAGTGGGTTCGAACCAGAACTCTGCTAGATACTCTATCCCCTCGATGGAATGAGCAGTATACCTGGGAAGTTTATGATCCGTGTACTGTCATCACAATTGGGGTTTTTGACAACCACCACGTCAATGGGAGCAGTGATGCTAGAGATCAGAGAATTGGAAAGGTAAGAATCCGGTTATCAACTCTGGAAACTGATAGGGTGTATACTCATTTTTATCCTCTGCTGGTTCTCCAACACAACGGCCTGAAGAAGAATGGAGAGCTTCATTTGGCAGTGAGATTCACTTGCACCGCTTGGGTTAATATGGTAGCCCAGTATGGCAGGCCTTTGCTTCCCAAAATGCATTATGTCCAACCAATACCTGTTAGGCACATAGATTGGCTCCGCCACCAGGCCATGCAGATTGTGGCTGCTCGCCTATCTAGAGCTGAGCCACCCCTGAGGCGTGAAGCAGTTGAGTATATGCTTGATGTGGATTACCATATGTGGAGTCTAAGGAGAAGCAAAGCCAATTTTCACCGCATAATGTCACTACTCTCGGGAGTTACAGCTGTTTGTAAATGGTTTGCTGACATCTGTACTTGGAGAAATCCAATCACAACCTGCCTTGTTCATGTCTTGTTCTTGATATTGGTGTGCTACCCGGAATTGATATTGCCAACCATTTTTCTTTACTTGTTTGTGATTGGGATTTGGAATTACCGGTTCAGGCCAAGGCAGCCACCTCACATGGATGCAAGGCTTTCACAAGCAGAAAGTGTCCACCCAGATGAACTGGACGAGGAATTTGACTCTTTTCCAACTACAAGGCCTTCAGATATTGTGAGAATGAGGTATGACAGATTGCGGAGTGTGGCAGGTAGAGTACAGGCTGTGGTTGGAGATTTGGCTACCCAGGGAGAAAGAGCTCAAGCCATACTAAGTTGGAGAGACTCCAGGGCTACGTCTATCTTCATCATCTTCTCACTCATTTGGGCTGTTTTCATTTACATTACTCCCTTCCAAGTAGTAGCTATTCTAGTAGGCCTCTACATGTTGCGTCATCCTCGGTTTAGGAGCAAGATGCCATCGGTACCAGTTAATTTCTTCAAGAGATTGCCTTCCAAATCAGATATGCTCATATGATGTCCAGCTTCGGTTTTTATCATTTCAATTGTTGTGCACAAATAAAGATGTATGAATAAACATACCAGCACCACTACACGTAAATTAAAGAGGGTACAGCAAAGATGTGCATAGTCAGGGTTCCCCTCCAATTTCATTAGCAAAAAAGCACACTTTCATTCTATGAAAGTATATGTACATCCCAAAGCTTCAGTTTCAGCTATGGAAATGAATATTTCTTTCATGCTCGTAACACCTTTATTATATTACGAAACGATGTTCTTCCTATTATTGTTAACCACGCAAAATAATAGTCAGTCTGGATGAGCAAGTTCGTTCGCTCTTATAAATCAAGCCCCAAAAGGATTTTCTACGAATCGTGTATCAATACAACTGCCATAAAACCTAATGCATGATGTGGGCTGAAAATTTGCGGGAATAATACATATGACAACACTTGATAAAATCTAAGAAATTTGTACAAGTCAAAACTTTCGAATGACAATTTGATTCGGAAAAATATTAAAAACTAACAGCCTTTTACTGGGACCAAATAACTCTAAACGTAAGGGCTACTACTACCAGAGCAATAATCGTCAAGAGGCTGATAGATATTCCACCCAAAAGAGCCTTATCAACGAAGTCCCACTCCCTCATGCTTCCTTCTTGCTTTTTAACATATCCCGAGGCAAGCTCCCTCTCTACCTTTTTGTGCAGATGCTTCCGCTTCCTCAACATCCATCCAATGAAATTCCTTTTGCTTTGGTTCTGTCTTGAATTATCACTGTTATCGAGAGTATCCTGACTACAGCAACTGTCATTTCCACAAGCACAAGATTCTTGCACTTCCGAGAATCCACCATTCTTGGCTGGATTACCGCAGAGATTAGCCATATCCTGATTAGGAACCAGCTTGTTCAGAGCTTTACCGTCACTTACATGGTTGACTGTCTCAATTACTTCCCCAAAAACTGACCACCTTCCCACAGATGTTATTTTAACCATAGCTGAAGTTCCCAGCATATTGTCTGGAGCAAGTACAAGAACTTGTATATATCCTTTTGTATGACCAACCTTCGGCATGGACAAATAAAATAATTAGATGATAGATACCAGAAATAAATACATAATATATTAAAGTCACAAGCTCAAAGGAGTGCTTCACAGGAATCCGCATTTTATCATTTGTAAGTAAGTATGCAACATGCACACAATCCAAATTCCAACCCCCCCCCCTCCCTTTTTCTCCCCCAACGCACCCACCCACCCTCAAAAAGAAAGAAAGAAAAAGATGCTTCTTCCTCCCATCCCCTCCCTATTTATGATGTACAATAGGCCCTAAAGCCATGGTTATGCTGTGAGTAGAACTCTTCCAACACCCCTGATATGATGAAGATTTTAACAAATTTGCAGCTAAACCAACTCAAGTCTCAAGTATATCATTTTGAAACACACAGCACCGTTATCAAGACAGTTAAAGTTTAGAAACAAAAAATTACATTCTTAAATATTGTTCTAGATGAGAAATGCTAACACCACACCCTTTCGGATACTCTATTACTAACTGAAATTTATTAGAAATCACAATTTTTTATAAGTTTCTCTTCTTATTTAATAAGTTCCAATCATGATTTTGTACTTTCCAATAAATTTAAACCAACAGTAGATAGTGTGTTAGAAGTGTGTTGTTACTTGTTAGCACTCCTTTACTATTGTCTTGATAAATGGAATGAGCAAAAAACGACAGATAAGGAAAACAACCTCGTATCTCATTTTTCCCTAAACTTCTTTCTTTGGCACTTTAACGAGTTCATGGCAATAAAAGTATTCAGCATTGAGATACCAGATATCAGAGATTCAGGTTTTCAGCCAGTCATAGCCACAAATTGGATGCAACAAATGACATGCTTTAATATAACACATTAAAAAGCAACAAAAATAAATCATGATTCTAGATCTACTACATTGCCTTACCAAGTGAACTCCATCAGATGCAATATCAGTAATCCATATTCTTTCCACTTTGCCCTCCATCCCAGAGTATGGTGTAAAGGATTCAAAGACATTTGTCAGTTCTCGGCTTCTTCTCTTCACCACATTACTTGGAACTTTTTTCATCCTTGCAGCAGGTGTCCCTATTCATTTATAGTATTATTTGTCTCGGGTAAGGAAAACTGTTTTAAAATGAAAATAAAGAAATATATTGGCATTACCATATTATATAAATGCTATCAGACCTTTGGAGGTAATCTAGATGGCATAATTTTCTAAGCACCAAAATTTAAACCTGATGAATGCAAATTTCCCAACAGATCCAATCCCACCCTACCCCAGTACTGTAATTAATAGTTTTTCTTTTTAACCCTGCCATCCAACACACATGTTGCCTAGGTTCCCATATTCTACTTAAGTAAACAGAAAATATATTGGTTTGTGCAAATGTACAGCACATTAAATTCAGATGATAGGGAAAAGTAATTAACCAAAATAACCAAAGATAGAGACGGGGGGAGAAAAAGAAATATGCAGACCATGTATACTATCCTATATCATTAATAAACAGGAATTCACACCTTTCATTTGATCTCGTAACAATAAGAAAAAATGTTATTGAGAAAACTACAGCTCACACAAGCACCTCTAAGTAATCATCCAAGACGATGGAGACATTGTGTGGCCCTCTATACTGATTGGGTAGCATAAAGTAGCATAAAGTAGCACCTAGCAAGCAGGTAAAGTAAAATATGGAAGAAGGAAGAACTTTTGATCACTTCTCAATACATCTAATAAGAATAAAATTATTAGGAACCCTTTTTGATTGAAAGAAACATTCCATTACAATTTAGGGTTAGTTTTAGCATAAGCAAAAGAAATCACAAAAACAGTGGTCCAGTGCACCCTCACAAATGTGGGGTTTGGGAGGTTAGAAATACACAATCTTATCCCTTTAAACGTGCTCACAACTCATGGCAGCAACTAGCCCTCCCCGACTCCCCCATTAAAAATGAAAAAGAAAACAAACTACACACACATCACCCTGTGGATATAAGACATCATAGTGTTACTTTTACAGTGTTCCAGACTTGGTACCTATTTTGATTTTATGATTGTTGCATTCGATATGAAGCTGTGTCATATCACATACCTGGTCGAGGATAAAATTGTGAAATATGAACTTGAGGGAACTTGTACTCTTTAACAAGGTTAACAGTTTGCACAAAATCTTCATCAGTTTCACCTGAAAATGCCCCAAGAAATAAGTGTTTCTAAGATCAATGCACTAATTTTCTTTTTGATAAATTCCAGATTATCTAATATGAATTCCAAATCATTTCAATCATATGCAGTATAATCTGAAAGACTAAGAGAATATTGTTTCATATTTCTAGTTCATCAATGAAACCACCCCAATTATAATATCCACTTGATGCGTCATTTATTATTAAATTGTATAAGAATCTCCAGCTTAGAGTACCATGTGGCATGTTTTCAAACAAAATGATTCATAATTTCAAGAGTTATTTTACACTAGATGTTTATTGCACATAAAATTGTACATTTCAGGGAACAATTTAACAGAAAACAGAACAAAAATGATCTGCTAACCAGGAAATCCACATATTATATCAGTGGCAATCTCCATCTCTGGTACAAGCTCAGTTAAAGTATCTACAACAGTCCTGAACTCACTCACAGTATATTCCCGATTCATTGCCTGAGACATTCAGATTGGTTAATACATTATTTAGTAAATTATCATATACAATCCTATAAATAATTTTTATAACTTACGCTCAAAATAGTATCACTTCCAGACTGAACTGGTACATGCAGAAAAGAGTACACACATGGATGGCGTAATATCTCTGCTATCTCTTTCAAGTGCTCAAGGATATAAGGTGGATTGGTCATTCCAATACGCAGCATTGTGCTTGCATCAGCTGGTAGTTCTGCTACTAAGGCCTTCAACAAAGTTGGAAGATTGACACCAATGTCACGACCTGTAAAACATCAAGACCTAAGAAACCATTGATTTAAACCCCACTCTCAATTTTATAACATTTTGAATAACCTAAATTGCTTAGGGGCGTATGCAAGTCAATAGGAAATTTCTTAAGATAAACTCTGACAAACGTTAGAAATTACCATATGCTCCAGTGTCCTCACTGCTAAGCCATATCTCTTTAACTCCATCAGATATGACAGATTTTACACGCCCAACCTGCAATAATTACGAATTAATATATATACATAAGCAAACTGAAATATTAAAAAGGAATATATGCATGTATATTATATAATGTAACTCACTGTCAATGGTACTTACAAGGCTATCAACTGTGTAACTTCCTAGGTGACCCCGAGCATGCTTTGTCTTGCAATAAGTACAAGCACCTAAACAACCAACATTGATAGGAAGAATCTCAACAAACTTGTTCTTCCTTACCTGTTCCAGAAGCATAATGAATGATCGAATAACATGATAAAATATCTAAATTGATGGTATATTCACCTTGTATGTTTTTTCCATGATAACAAGCCTAATTAGAGGTGTCTAAGATGCATAAGAGAAATGTGAGGGAATATAGGTGTCTGACACTTTGAACAAAATAGGTGTATGTGCTTCATAAAACATAATAAACAACAGGTGCTTTACACGTGATAGTTGGGGCAAGGAAGAAATATCCATACAAACTGAATGGGAATGAAATTGAATTATGGAAACCTTAGGGAGGTCCAGTGCTGGCAATTTCTTTCGTGTAAAGAGGCGCACTTCGTGACCTTTTAAAGTCTCCTCTACAACTTCAACAACACGATCAATTTGCTGAACTCCAACAACGCTGATCCCTTCGAGCTCTTTCAAATCTCGACTTCCTTGAGGGACACAGCCAGCAACAACTAGTGGTTTATTTGAAGATTTTCCTTTTGATATGATGGTATCCATAGCAGATTGACTCGGGGATTTAACTGTGCAACTGCAGAAGTAATTATTGAATGTGACATAGGATGTTATTGTTTAGGTAAAAGAGTGAGAGAGAAAAGGCTGACGTGTTAATGAGCCAGAGATCTGCTAGGTCGGGATTATCGCTCAAAGAGTAACCAAAAGCCGAAAGCTGACCAGCCATGTATTCGCTGTCGCTCTGTTCAAAATTCAAATGAAAGAATAGAATAAGCTGAAATGGGAATTGATGAAGATGAGTTGAGTAGCAAGTGGCAGAGACTTGCCTGGTTATGCGAGCAGCCAAAGGTCTTGATGTAGATAGTCTGCGGGAGAGGAACAAAGAAAGAATAAGAGAAAAGAGAAAGAAGAATAAGAAGAATGTGATGTGAGATCAAATAACCTGAGTGCCAGGGATCGCAGGCGAAGGTAAAGAAGAAGAGAGTTGATTCCGCTTAGTTCCAACGCCGACGCCAACAGCAGCTGCTAATGGCAAACGAAATCCTGGTGGAGCTTCACTTCGGCTGCTCCCAATCAGCAAATCCTCAATGTCCTCCATCTCTATCTCTTCCTCCTCCTCCTCCTTCTCTTCCCTCCTCTGCCCTAAACACAATACCTAAAATTTATATTTTAGATTTAGATACACCAATCCTTTTAAATAAAATAAATAAATAAAATTACACACACTATGCACCAAAATAATTATTTAAATAAACTAGATATTAATGTTTTTAATATTTTGAAAAAATGTTTATTTAATATATATATATATATATATATAATATTAATATAATAGAGAAAAATATTTACTCACTTTGGTTTTATCCAATAATTCACATTTTAGATTAAATTTTAACTATCTATCATTGAATTCAAAATTATTAATATATAAATAAAATTTGTAACATTTTAAAAAATTTAAAAATTATATAATAAGTTCAAAATGATATATAAAATATTTTTATAATTATTTATCAATTTTGAAACTAAGTATTAAATTTTTTTTAAAATTACATATTTGATCTATGTAATTTTTTTTTTAATTTAAAGATTAAATTGTTAAAATTTAATGCAAAATATAAATTATTAGAGTAAGTAAATCTCTTCTATATATAGAAAGAGTAGGAATGAACTTACTCCAATATTAATGCACAAATCAAGTATGCAATTTAAAAATTATATAATATTTTATTATATAAATAAAAATCATAATTGTTTGAGAATTTAAATTAACAAAATAAAATATTAAATTGATTGTAATAGTATTAAATTATTGTGAAATCAAAGAGTTTTTTATTCAAATAATATTATTTTAAAAAAAACTTACACAAATAGCAACCGTTGCAAATTTATTTTCTCAACTAGCATCATTTACTGTTCACGTTTTGGAATGGGTCGTTCTAAAATCAGAACGGACGGTTCTGGATTAAAAAATAACACATGAAAAATAAATCAGAACGGACCATTTCAAAATCAAAATTAGCACATAAAAAGTAGAACCAGAACGGCCCGTTCTGCTTTCAGAACGGGCCGTTCTGACCAACAAATAAATTTTTTCTTTCGATTTTCACTTATCAAATACCAAAACTCAGAACACTACGGTTAACATGTCAACTATTTTTTGTTTTATCAATTAATCTAATCATCCTTAATTAAGACTAAAAACTTAAATTTTAATAAAAACCTTCATAAATCATAATTAACACTAATCGATCCGAACAAAATAAAGAATAAAAACCTTAATAAATCGCTCGATAAAACGGTAGTCTATATAATCAAGGAATATTAGAGAATCATTTCTAATAATATTACGTTTTCTAATTATTTCCAATTAAGGAACATTATTACATTTGCACTTTAATTTTATCAACATAGTTAAATAGTTTTAGTAATTATATTATAAATATTGTAAATAATTATTAATTAATATTAATATCAAAATAAATATATATAAAAATTGTGTATTTTTTATTATTTATTTCATTAGTAATACGATATAATATTTAATTTACAAAAATATTTATTCGATTTTTAGTATGACAAAATAGTTAAAGGGAATATAATATATTACGATGTAAATATAATAATATATTAAAAATTATATTAATATATACACAAAATTAAAAATGAAAAAAATATTATAACATAAATGATTACTAAGAGTTATAAATTTTTGTTTCCATAATATTATTAATTATTAATTATATATTTCCATCATTATTAATATCAAACCAAATATATATATAAAAAAATTGTGTATTCTATTTTTTTCCAATGTATAATACGATATATTTTTAATTTATAAAAATATTTATTCGATTTTTAGTATGACAAAATAATTAAAGAAAATATATTACAATGTAAATATATTAATATATTAAAAAATACATTAATATATAGAAAAATTAAAATAATGAAAAATATTCATATTTGTTATTAATAAAATAAAATTTTATAAGATAAATGATTACTAATAATTATTATATTTCTGTTTCAATATTGTTATTAATTATTAACTATTTTCTCTTTCAATTATTATTTATCCTTCCTTATCCATTCTGCATTCTGTTCTCTCTCTATAATTTAATATTTCATATATGTTACAACTACTATTTATTTTATTTAATGATTATATAATATAACTGATAAGAGATATTTACATTTTCATTTCCAAAACAATATAATTGATAGTAATTAACAATCATTTCAACCTCTTCAAGTTTTCTATTTAATTGATCAGATTTAATTATACCACATACATCTCAATTATTTCATCTAATAGTACATGTATATTCTTATTTGTAACATATTAACATCTTTCCATTTTTTTTCTTTTGATTTTATGATAATTGTCTCTATTATCTTTTATTCATATAAATAAAAGTAAGTATTATTATATTTTTAGAGTACAACAATCCTAAAAATTCTTTTAGTGTTGAGATGTTGATTCTTAATGAAAAGATAATTTTTAAGCTTTTTTAAATATTTTTTAAGTTATTATAATAAACATTTATTCTTTTAACCGTAACTTTGTATTAAGGTATTTTATTTATGATTAAAAATTATAATACGAAAAGATTCACGCCTCTATAAAAATGTTTAATGTCAAAATTTTATATTTAATTATTTTATATGCAAATTATTATGAGTTTATATATCAAAATACTATGTTTATTATTTTTAATATATAAATTATTGTAAATTTATATCACAGGTTAGTATATTTACTATATTTGATATTATTTTCTTTTAGCATTTGATGAACAAAATATGTGATAAAACTTTGTAAGAGATTCTATTCATGAAAAAGACCTCAATAAATTGGAAAATAACAATGAATTTTTTTTTTAATGTGACATAAGAATAAAAAGTGTCAATTTTTTTTTGTATGTGATGATGAGATAATTAATTAAAAAAATATTTAAATATGTATTTATTTAGTCTGTAATATAGTTGTTATTTTTATAAGTATATGGTTCAACTTTAATCTATTGAAAATATTTTATCAAAAATCCAATTAGTTTGGTATATGAAATGACAGTATTTTTTAATTGTAATTATTTTTTTATTATGATTTTTTATATTTTAAATTAATTATTGGTATAATCAAAAGGTAACAAACTAAAAGAAAAATAACAAAGACGTTCGAATAATGTTATCTTTAATTTGATATAAAAAATTTCACTCTGAAATAGAAGAAAAAAACAAAAATTGAAAACCCGATTTGAGTCTTTGAGATAAGAACAATAATGAAGGGTACACTTATATCTGATGCAGTTAAAGAAAAAATTATTTTTAAATAAAATTATAATTTTACTTTAACCATAATTTTTTACACATATATAATATAAATATTTTAATTTATATAAAAACTATTATATAAAAAAATATATAATATAATAGAAATTATCAAAATAATTTGCACATCGCACGAATACTTATCTAAATAGATATCAAGAGAGTGAGCAAATTCCGGTCAATAACACCGGTGTATCATCAACCACCTCAAAAACAACAAAGATTTATTATTATTTTTTTGTTAACACTTAACACACCAAGTAATGTTTGCAAAACACTTATCAGCGATGGTGATTTCTTTTTAAAAAATTTTGGTCTAGACCTAAAAAATTTGTGATTTTGAGTTTGTTTCTGGTTATGAAAGGTTGACTTATTTTTTTAATTTGAGTTGTGGACAATCATTTATGGGCAAGCACAGTTAATTCCCCTCCTTTTTCCTTTGATTTTTGACTGTGAAAATAATTTTTTAGGTTTAAATATATTTTTAATTTTTATAATATATCACATTCTTTTTTAGTGTTGATCCTTGTAAAATTATTTTTTATTTGTCTTTGAAAAATTATATAAGAACTAAAAATAACGATATATTATACTATCCAACTGTATCACATAATTTACTCCAATGAGGATTCTCGAATATACTGAGTTTATAATTTAATAAATAAATAAAAAGATTGTAAACAATTTCTAGGACTAGAACTACCAAGGTATCCTTAGGGTTTCAGATGATTGCTTCTTTTGTATCCTTAGGTAGGAGTATTCACAATAAAGCTGAGTGATATTTATTACTAAATCCTTTATTTTTTTTCCTCTGCTATATCTTATTAGCTATCATGCAGTCTTTAATTTCACTGTCCTATACCTATTTTTAGTGTACATTGGCGCGCCCTAGATCCTAAACCCTAAATCCTAAACTCTAAATATCAATTTATAAAATATACACATATTCTATAGGTTGAATTTAAGATTGAGTTTATGAATTTATTCGCATACTTGAATTTCTATTTCAATTCAGTACTCGGATGATATATGTTAAAGCAAAAGATCATGGCGTGCTAAGAATCACGAGATTTACTACATGGACATTCTGCCCGGGAACAGACTATCTAAGAAAGCATATGCATAGCATTGCTCCGTTGTGGGACAAGAAAATTGTAATCTTAAATTAAAGCAAGCTCTGCCAATATACATTTGAACAAGAAATAGTATTGTTGTCCATGAAACATCGTTTCAAAAGGAGACACTTTTAGTTATTGTATAAAAACCAAAAAAGTGAAATAAAAAATTATATATATATATGCACCGTCCTGTAATGATCAGCAAAAGAAGCAGCCAAGAGAAAGGGAAAAACTTAACAAGTTGTGTCGATATTCTTCGTTCGCATAAGAATGGCTAAATATGCAAACCGAGAAGCTAAAAGATAATCAATATATTACGCAATGATGTACATATGATATAATTTAGCATCCCTTCTACTTTAGTGTATCACACAGCAATTTGTCATGGGAGCACTGCTACACATCCTAAATTTTAAAAATCTTATAATCATAATTATCGGACATTATATTATATTGAAAATTTTAGTAACAGAAGTAATTTGACATATTAGACCCCTATGAGTCTTTGAATTGATTAGCTGTAACTATTGGTCCTTATTAATAGGAAGTACCTTGCATGCAGCAACATATCCCAGAAGGGTAGCGAGCAAGAACAGGTGTACACTACAAGGTGAGGCAGTTAATGCAAATGTTAGAACAGCCAAGGTATGCATGCCCACCTGAGAATAATTCCTTCTCATAAAATGTTCAGCATTCAGACTTATAATGACAACTAAAGTCAGCATAAGACCATAAACTAACCGGATTCATGTGGATTCAAACTGTCAAGGAAAGAAAGGAACCGTAATTCAATGATCTGAAAAATTTTCTTAAAATGAATTACAAACATAAATGTAGTAACATGTCTATTCAAGGAAAGTTTATAATGGATTATCTTTTAAAACATGTGTTAATGCCTCCTTGCCCTTTAAAATTGAGAACGTTGAAGAATGTCTTCTAAGCACACATAGTAAATTTAGCATAATAAACATATCATGCTGGATACACCCCATAATATTCCAGCCAGAGAATCCAAAAGAGCCATTAATTTTGTGTTTTATAAAGAGGGAAAAAAATAGAGAGAAAGGAAGGTAAGGAAACAAAATAAAGTGAAAATTAAATTTATTTGGTAGGACAAAAATAGAAGGATAATAGAAAAATTTAATTTTTTAGAGAATATTTTATTTAAAATTGATAATTTTATTATTATATATAATCTTTAAGTAATCGATTGTGTTATATATATAGAGTATTTTATGTTTCTATAAATTATTTTTAAAATATAATAAATAATGAAAATTATATAATAATGAATGATTATTAAAAATATAGATAGTTGTAAAGTAAAATTTATAAAGAGAATAAAAAAAATTATAATTTATAAAAAATTATTATAAAGATAAAATTGTTAAAAAACTATAGACATTAAATAAGATAATTCTCTTTATTAATAGTATAAATAAACATAATCAATTATTATATATATATATATAAACATAATTTCTTCTTTTTTTTCATAATAACTTTTGCTCAAACTCAACCCTCTCAACGGGAAAGTTTTGTGCCATAGGTCTACTAAAAGGGAATTGCTATGCTATCCTTCTAAATTAAGATGTTTTTGTACAACAAGTTTTTAAAATTAATAAAAATGATTTAAGGTGTTTTTTTTTTTTCACTTTCACTTTTTTTCATCCATACTAAGTGATGTGTTATTGATAGACAAATAATTTAAATAATTAATTTACTATTTTTTATCACTAAATATTAGTCCAAATATTTTAAATCATTTTGTAAAAAATCAAAATAACTTTAAAAAAAGCATAATAAAATCTTATTTGTTGAAATAGAGGAAGATTTTATAATTTTTTTATTTAATTTATTTCTCAAAATTTACATACAAATATTCTAATTTATCATGACTCATAATATATATAAAAAAAATTATCCTTAATAAATTCAAATATTTTAAAATATTTAAATTCAAATCTTCATCGCTACTTTTTGCGCTACTAAACACTCATTTTTTAAGTTTTGAAAGACATAAAATTTCAATGGGATCCATGACAAAATAAATTGTCTGCTAAGAAAATTGAATTTTCTCAGAAGAAATTATGCAAAAAATAATAATAAATGGTTCGTTCTTATTTGTATATTGATTAAATGTGTTTGTATATGATTTTTCACGTCCAATTTAAATCGATAAATATCAGCTTTTATACAAATCAAACATTTGAATGTAAAGAGAAAAGGGGAAATTGTGTTAAAAAATTATATCAAATACAAACTATATATATATATATACGAGGAGGGTTCAAACGACACCGGTGTAATTTTTACTAAGTGTTACACCGTTCAATAACTTTATATTAAATGTAAATTTTGAAAATTCAACGACTAGATTGAATGTTCATAAATAAAAAAACATAATCGGTAAATGAACAAAAATGAGTTTCCAGCCTTCTCAATGCAAAAGTTTTTTCTGGTGGATCCACTGAAATTCAATACTCTTCCACGCAATTACCACGCTTCTAAACACGCATTTTTTTTAGTCTCGTTTGATAGCATAGAGCGTGAGCAGAGGGAAAGGGAAGAGCGCAAAATGACACTTTTTTATGCGTGCTTGAATATGCGGAAATAGCGTGAAAAGACGTAAAATTTCAATGAGACCTAAAAAAAAAAAACTTCTCTGCTAAGAAAATTGAATTTACACAGAAAAAAAACTATTAAAAAAAATGGCTCATTTTTGTTCGTTCAACGATGTTATATATGCATAATCAATGAATAAATGAAAATGAGCTGTGTTTTTTTTGCACAATAACTCCGGAAGAACATTATTTTTTTGTGGTGGATCCACTAAATTTCAAGAACATTCTTCCATGCAACTTCCACACTTCCAAACACATTTTTTAAGTCTCGTGTAGTAGCACAGAACATGGGCAAAAGGGAGGGAAGAGCGCCAAACAACACTGTTTTAGGCATGTTTGGAAGCATGGAAGAGCTTCAAATTTCAGTCAAACCCACATCATAAAACTTCTGCACGAGAAAGCTGAAAATTTGTGTAAAGGATAAAAAAAAGTGACTCATTTTCGTTGATTCACTAATTATGTTTATTTATATATAACACAATCGATTATGTGTTATGTATATATAATACATTATGTGTTATGTATATATATAATATATAATACATAACATAAATCATAAATCATTTGTGTTGTGTACAAAATCGATTATGTTTATGCATATACGTGACACAAAATCAATTATGTTATATATATACAAAAACTTTCTCAACGCGGAAGATATTTCTCGTGGATCGACTTAAATTCAACACTTGCAATTTCTGCATTTTTAAACACGTGTTTTTTCAATTACGTATAAATTATATAATAAGTAATAAAATTATTATTTAAAATAAAATATTCTCTTAAAAAATTATCTCAATTTATTTTTATTTTTATTTTTTATATTTCTCTCTTATCGAATAACTTCAATTTTCACTTTATCTCTAATCTATTTTCATGCTCTTCCCTTTCATTCCTTTCCCTTTTTTTTTCTTTTACCAAACAAAGCATAAGAGGGATAGAACTTGAAAACCAGTTAACTACTCCATAAACAAAAACCCACGGCGCCACCGTGGAAGAAACCATGTAATAGCACCTGCTAGTAGGAAGAAACAGCATATCACCATTCACCCTAACCTGTAGAAGACAAAGTGAACATTACATTAATTTGAAAAATGTGGCCATTGAAGGTTGTACATGTGTCAAGATCTTCCTTACCGCGTGAAAAGATGTGAAAGCAAAAGGCTGCTTATGATGCTCCTCTTTCCATGTATCAGAACTTTGAAAACTGGAGTATTGTTCATCCTGATTTCATTTCCACTTATATATCTATCTTCAAAGCACCAAATTCTTCAATTTTCCTGCTGACTACACGAACAACAAAATGAAAGATTTGCCACTTGGGTATTTGCCTCAACTTATTCCCATAGAAACTCGTTTCCAACATGGGATTAGGGTTAATAAGTAATAGTGATTCTCTTCTGTAACTTTCAGATTATAAATTAATGGATCAATCAGCGATTAAAATTTAAATAGACCCTAAAATGAAAAAGTTAGTAAAATTTTCATGTCTTTTGGCTGATGTATATTATGAAAACACATTTATTCTTTATTGGTCTAAGTCACAAGGGTAACAAATATCCGTTCAAATTGCCTTAGCACCACGAAACCAGCTAACAGGAAGACGATAATTCTTTGAGTGCCAAGAACTTAAGGCACTTGATATATCTTAAAGTAACTTGATTATTCCCATACCCAAAAGTACTATTTTGGGATAAAAAATCTCACCCAACAACTCCTTTCTAATGATTGACAGAGGCTTTATACCACATGATATAGCGAACTGCACAAGTCTATAGACTGAAGTTGAATCATAGTAGACTTGCAGCTAACATTTGCACAAATTTCAAATATTTGCCTAGAAACTCAAACGTTAAGTATAGGGATTAATTACTAATCATGCTCTTAATAATATATAATCTCTAAAGAGAAACAGCATAAAAACTCAACATACATGATACTATGAAAGATCTTTCTTTGATTTGAATTGCTTAGAGGTCTTTGATAGTTCCATTTCCCATAAAATGATTAAAAGACAAAAAGGTAACAACAAATTGAGAAAAATAATCCTTCACTTGTAACAATTTCAAGACTAATACTGAGCCATCAGCATAAGAGACCACCATGTCTTATTCCGACAAACTGAAAGTCCAGTTGTTAAAAGTTCTGAGTCTATCATGACTTTATGGGAGAGGACTTGATGGAGAATCATTTTCTTCATTCACTGCTTCCTCAGTCTTTCTGTATTTTTTACCTCTTTTTTCCATCATTTTATCAGCAGGCGATTCTTTTCCACAATCCCCTTTCTTTCTCTTTGCATTGCACTTCACTGCTAGATCTGGCCCCTTGTTGGCATCTTTAAGCTCACCAACATCAGATCCTTCATGTAGACCATTCAAATCCTCTTCAGAATTTTTGTTCCCTGAGTCAGTATCTTCGTCCTTGCCAGCGCCATCATCCTGTAACTCATCAGCATTCTCACTTGACTCCACTGATTCTCCAATTTCTTCAACCTTGGCTTTCAATGATTCAATCGCACTCTTCAAATCTACATCAACCTGTTATACAAAACCCACCACCAAACCAAACGAGTTTATAAACCATAGATAAAAGTTGTATTCTTAGCACTGAGACCTAAGGAAATGCTAATTTAGATTGCAACTTAAGGAAAGCATAACTTAGATCCCTGATATGACATGTACCTGAATGTTCTGAAGATAATCAGAAATGTCAATAGTGCAAGAAGGACATTTCATCACATTCTTTTGGGACCGAAGGGTTCTCCCACCCCTACTTCTCTCCCTCACAAAAGTCTGACCAGCAAATGCACCTTCCAAACAAGACTTACAAAAGTTATGAGCACACGGTGTTGTCACTGGTGAAACCATAACCCCTCCACATATCATGCACGAGAACCCTGCATGCACAAGAAAATGGTAAATAAGCACGTATTAATGGATATCACCGAAGAGATTATTGATAATTTAATTGGAAGGTCCAATGTCAACCGTTGTTAAACGTATTAATATACCTCTCTGCAATTGTTCCTTGATTGACTTGAGTTGGAATTTCCTTATATCTTTATTTGACTTTTCCCTTGCTACCTCTACGGGTTCGGCATTTCGTACCTTTTGTCTGCTGGGAGGTGGTGGTTTCTTCCACTTCCAAAGAGAATCTTCCTCCTAAATAAGTTGTCTACTCATTAAATATATCTAAAAAAATCTAGTATTTTATGATTTATATTTTAGACAATAGAATCTTGTACGCAATGCTGATAAGAAATGAAATTAGCATCAAATGCATATATAAGTATTCGAAAAAGGAAGAAGAACTCCTAAATAATCACTCACATCAAAATCCCAAGATGGAGTCTCAGTCCTTTCAAATATGACTGTAGCCTTTTTCAGTTCACGAATTACGGGCAAGGGTCTGGGCCTATCTCCATGATCATCGCTGTATCCATTTAATATAACTTTGTTAATAGAATGCTAAAAGGCATTTTAGTGCCAAATCTGCTACATAATATAAGAATACATACCTTGTCCACGGGGCGGGTTCATTGTCACATCTAACAAATAGATACCGGCAAACTTTGAAACCCTAGTTACGAAAATGCCATCAGATATGTATTGTAACACTATATTTTGATATTTAATCACATTTTGAATTTAAATAAGACTTTAAGATGATAAATAAACTTTTTAAAATAACAGATATTACTAATAAAAAAATAAAATAAAAATAAATAAATAAATAAAAAGTGAGTTCGATATACTCACTATTGTTCGCTTAAGAAGTGGTAACTTGTTGGTCTCTTCCTCTGGGTTTCCTCTGGTCCAAGGTGGAGATGTATGTGTGTTGGTGTCTTTTGGGAAGGAGAAGGGCCGCTATTTATAGACTTTCAGGAGGGACCGGAACGACCCGTTTTGAATCCGGAACGGCCTGTTCCGGGGATGCAATTTTACTCACAACGACCATTTTCGGAACGGCCTGTTCTAGTTTTGGAACGGCCCGTTCTGAGATAGAATTTATATGTATTTTGGTCGTTTGGGAACAGCCCATTCTGGGCTAAAAATTATAGGTCTTTTTTGAAGGTTGGAATGGCCCGTTCTAGTTTTTATGAACAGCCCGTTCTGGACTAGAATTTATAAGTCTTTTTGGAAGGTTGGAACGGTCCATTCCAGTTTGGGAACGGCCTGTTCCGGGCTAGAAATTTTAGATCTTTTTGGAAGGTTGGAACGACCCATTCCAGTTTGGGAACGGCCCGTTCTAAAACCATATCAAAATTATTAAATTACCCTCCATAAAAATATAAAAAATGAGGTGTTACATTTGCCTTCTATATTTTTGTCTTTTTTATTCTTTTTTGTACATACTTTTTTTGCTATTTTTTTTATACAAAAATTGACATTTCTCGGACAAAATTGGGTTACTATAGTTGCCCCTCTTTACTTAATTTTACTAGATAATATAAACAACTCTTGTTTCCATATTATCGTAGTAAAATATAAGTAAAGAAAACACAAATTCCGTCCCTGAGCTTGAAACATTAAGAAACATGAGCGCGAGGGACACGAAACATTAAAATACATGAGCGCGAGAGCTCGAAACATTAAAAGACATGTGCGCGGGGACTCAAAACATTAAAAGAGTAAGCACGAGGGCTCGAAAAATTAAAAGAGTGAGCACGGGAGCTCGAAAGATTGAAAGAGTGAGCATAGAGGCTTGACAATTAAAAGAGTGAGCACGGGGGCTCGAAAGATTGATAGAGGCTTGAAAATTAGAAGAGTGAGCACAACGGCTCGAAAGATTGATAGGGGCTTGAATATTAAAAGAATGAGCACGGGGGCTCGAAAGATTGATAGAGGCTTAAAAATTAAAAGACTGAGCACGGGGGCTCGAAAGATTGATAGAGGCTTGAAAATTAAAAGAGTGAGCACGCGGGCTCGAAAGATTGATAGAGGCTTGAAAATTAAAAGAGTGAGCACGGTTAATACAATAATTTCAAATATTTACATTAAATATTGTAACACTATATTTTGATATTTAATCACATTTTGAATTTAAATAAGACTTTAAGATGATAAATAAACTTTTTAAAATAACAGATATTACTAATAAAAAAATAAAATAAAAATAAATAAATAAATAAAAAGTGAGTTCGATATACTCACTATTGTTCGCTTAAGAAGTGGTAACTTGTTGGTCTCTTCCTCTGGGTTTCCTCTGGTCCAAGGTGGAGATGTATGTGTGTTGGTGTCTTTTGGGAAGGAGAAGGGCCGCTATTTATAGACTTTCAGGAGGGACCGGAACGACCCGTTTTGAATCCGGAACGGCCTGTTCCGGGGATGCAATTTTACTCACAACGACCATTTTCGGAACGGCCTGTTACTAAAATCAATCATACCTTCTCTCTCTTCACCATTAAATATATTTTTTATTTTTATTTTTATTTTTATTTTTAAAACATTAATTGTTTTCATTTTATCCTTAATTACTATGAATCCCAATTGTAGGCTTTAAAGATATAGTTAATCACTTATACACTGTTAATGTAAAGATTTTTTACACTAATAATCAATTATATCTTTTAATTGTGTCATATCACCGTTAAAAATAAATGTATTTATAGTGATATGACACATTTAAAAGATATAATTGGTTGTTAGTGTAAAAAATTTTTACACGGACAGTGTATAAATAATTAACTCTTAAAGATAAGGTTCAAATACTCCTTTTTTTTTTAGGGGAATACTCCCTTTTTTAATCACTATAATTTCATTTATTTTTATTTTTTTATTTTTTTATTTATTTTTATATTTTAAGATAAATTTTTTTAATCTTTATATTTGTAATTTTTTATTTTTTTATTTTCATTGTTACCTTTTTTTTATATAAATTTACGTATTTTGCGTTGACATAATATAGATATTAATTTAATTTTATATGTTTAATGTTGAATTTATTTTGTTAAAGTTATCCTAAATTAAGTTCATGATATTTTATGCTTCTTTTTTATTCTTACTTACGTGTGATATTTATTATTGAGATAGACTTCTATCATATAAAGACAAAAGAAACGATGTTACACTAAAAATTAAAAATAATTAAAAAAATATGAATATAAAAATTAAAAAGACATATCTTAAATTATAAGGACTAAAAAATTAATAAAAATAAGTATACAAACTAAAAAAAAATTTATTTTAAATTATGAGGACTAAAATGTAGAGTAAGTGAAACTATAGTGACTATGAAATATTATTAACTTAAGAATAATATCATATTTAGTCACATACTCTACACATATACGAGGTTAACAATAATAAATTAATAAAAAAATTAATTGAAACAAATATAATAATTATTGGGAACAAAAAAATCTTCTTTTCTTTTACGTACAATAATGATGATGAGAAACATATTAAAATAACACCATAAAAGAAATAGAAAAAAATTATACAACTTTATTTAATGTGGTTCAGCCCCTCATACTTACATTCACAAGGATGTTCATTATTTATTTTAAAATGTGTTACATATATCTTGAAAATCCTCCCTTCAAGTTTTGTGGGTTAAACTTGAAAACCCCTTCATCACAAGTTTTATGGGTGAAATTTAGAAATCCCTTCCTCACAAGTTTTATGGGTGAAACTTGGAAACCTTTTCTTCACAAGTTTTATGGCGAAACTTATAAACTTTCTTTCATATGACCTCTTCTCTCATTTAAGGCAATGACCTCTCTACAGGTCGGATGATTCTTCTCATCTCAAAAGTTTCTATTTATTGAACTTACATCACAATTTTAAAAGAGAGAACAAAAAAGATATATATATATATATATATATATATATGGAAACTATATTTTTTTAATTTTAAGATTAATACTAAAAACTTCTAACAATATATATATATATATAAACTAATTATATTTTAAAAGAAAATTAAATTATTATTTTATAAAAAAATTATATTTAAAAAAAATAAATAAAATAAAAACCCTGTTCAAAATTTGGCTTTTCAGGAACCAAATTTCGACAGATATTTTAGGTTACTGGAACCACCATCAACGTCACTCTACTTTAGTAAATAAATGGGAAGGGTTTAATTTTGTAAAAAAAAATTATATTTCAGAAAAAAATCTTTATAATTCACCACAATATCCTTTTCTTATTACCACTTTTGCCCTTTTACTAAAATCAAGCATACCTCACCTCTCTTCATTAATTTCTTCTGCATTAAATATGCTTTTAATTTTAATTTTTAATTTTACTTTTAATTTGTAAACAAAATATTAAGGAGATGTTAGGCACACAAAATGTTTTTATCTTTAATTTTTCATGTTTAATAGCTGGTTAAAGAAAAAAATCTCAAAAATTCAATTTCTCGAAATCATTTTTATGTCATTTTTTTTACAAAAATATTTTTTTGAGGAAGGTAAAATTCTAACTTTCTTGAATTTGAGAAAAAAGTTTTATAAACATAAAAAGCCATTATATTTTTTTTAAAACAAAAAATCTCTCTCCTTATATTTCTCTTTCTCTCTTTCTCTCACTCTCCCTCCCCCTCTCTTCCTTTCTCTCTCATTTTTTATTTCTCTTTCCCCCTCTATTTGTCTCTCCCTTTTTAATATACCTAAAATCAATTTTATTTTATTTACTTATAACAGTAAATAAAGAAAAAGAATATGATTATAAATACTTTCTGTTGAAACAAATTATGAATAAGACTACTACAATTATTATCTTATGATAATTTTTAAAAGTATAAATAAAAATCTTTGTAATCTTTGTCAAGTATATAAAATACTGCGTATAAAGTTCATTGTAAACTTTGGAAGACATTTATTGATTCCTTCAAATCTCTCATAATTTTTTATATTAGTAATAATAAATATGTATTATTTGATATATGAATTAAAATTATAATAAATACAACTTAAATAGGTCAATAATTATATAATTTTAAAATATTATATATATATAATATATATATAATGTTATTTATAATTATTAAATTTTTTTGAGA